AGTATGATCGTAATAGCGAGAAACGCACAACGGTTATTGATGATGAGCTTGACTATTTCGAGGTTAGTGCTGGAAAGGGTTTTTAATCTTTGTCTAATGAGATGTGCATATATTATAACTCTCATCGATTTGCCAGGAAAATTCAGTTTGGCTCTCGGATGTAGAACGGGCCAAATTCGAACGTCTTAAGCAGGAAATGCATGAGAAGAAACATGAAAGTCGAGCCAAACGAAAAATTAAGGTTGATTTTGCCGGTCGCGAAATGGAAGATGATCTTACAATTACCGCAGATTTTGAAAATCGGGTACTAAAGGAAATAGCTGAAGTAAAAGCTGCTTCTGGAGAGAAATATAATTGGTCAAATCGAAAAAACTCGCAAAAAATTACACCGAATACATGTGGCACAGACCCAAACATGGATGATGAACTTCGTCCAGTTTACAAACTCACTTCAGAAGGTAAGGCCCTAGCAGCCAACGGAGGCGCCAATCAAGGATTTGCAGATCGCTCCTATAACCGTGTGCAAGATAAAGAGCTGTTAGAAATGCAAGACATGCGTCATTGCCTCTCAATGCATCAGCCATGGGCTTCATTCCTTGTGGAGGGTATAAAAAAGTACGTAAGGCATTTAATACAATACAATTCGATATAAATAAAACCTTTGTAGGCACGAAGGCCGTGTTTGGTACAGTGAGCACCGTGGTCGATTATGGATTGCCTCTACCGTTAAAGATCCACATCCTGAAGAAATTGAGGAACTCAAAAATTTCTACAAGAATCACTACAATGATTCTAACATAAAATTTCCGGAGCACTATCCAACAGGTTGTTTGTTGGGTTGCGTACGCGTAGACGATTGCCTTGCGCAAGAAGAGTACCGTGAAATATACCCTGACGGCGAATCAGACAGCCCATACGTATTTGTTTGCTCTAATCCTGAACAGCTGCCTGTGGTTTTCCCTATTAAGGGACAACATAAAATATGTAAGCTATTCTCAAACACAATAAATATACATATCTACATAATAATAATAATTTCAGACCAAATTGATCCTAAGATACATAACGCTGCTTGCAAAACCTTATTACGCCTAAAAAGCACAAAAGGCTAAATATACATACATATATACGTATAAATTTGGCCAAGATGGATGCATCCTTAGATCGTAAAAATAATCAAAAAATACCCCATGCTTTAAAAACATATTTAGCGCTAAACATGTGTTTACGATGTATACTTTTTTAATAAAACTGGACAATAAATTTGATTTTTCTAAAGCAGCCATGACCAGCGCTGAGCATGCTTTTTCTAAAGCTTAACGAAAAAATTTTCATGTTAAAATCAGTTGGATTTTATTTATTATTAGTATCCAATGTTAGTTACATACATATATGTACATATATAAGTTTAAAATTGAATATTAGGATACACATTTATGCTTTAATTCACAATAAGTAAAATTTGCTTAAAATACGTTAATGCTTTTTTATGAAATTGATGGCGTATAAGTGCAAATTTATCTTATCTCGTATGTTTTTAAAACATTGAGAAACTCCTTCATGTCAAGTTTTGTTAATTTCTGTAATTCTTCAGCCGCCTCATCTCCACTTATAATTTCCGTTTCAGGTGTATCTAGATTGCCCATGCATAATCCCAGCAAATCATCCCAATAGAAAAATGTATCGCATACCAACAGCTGGGTATTGCGTACCATAATCTTTAATGAAGCATTCCTGCGCAACATTTCTCGGCGCAAAACCAAAAGCTTTTCCTTTCTTTTTAGTGAGATTTGGGACATCTGCGACTCAATAAAAATACCAGTATTTTTTAAACAAGCGCTCTTCCTAAATATTGCATTTACATCGACTTCGTGCACAACTTCAACAAGCAGGATCTGCCTGTCGTGGTGTATCCTGTTTCTATTTCCTATAACAAAAACGCTTTCCAACTGCACATTTGGCATGTTGAAACGTTCCCTAAATAACTGTTCGACAGCTTGCTGTGGCTGTTGATTAGGTGCTACTGGTATATTGTTTATAATTAATTTACGCCTGCGTACGACTTTCTCAAGTGTATGCAGTTCCCGTTGCAGAATTCGCTTGCTTTGTTCAGAGTGTTCTAGACGTTCTCGCATAAGTTGAAGTTCTCTTTGTATAGTTTTATATTTATCTTGATCTCCTCCTTCATCTTCATTGTCCTCTGTTACTGCAGTAGAACAAGGAGTACTTTGACGCGATCGTACTTGGTTGATAATATTTTTAGTCACCTCGCTGAGCTCCGACTTCGTGGCGAATGACTTGAGTTTCTCATCAAACATTCTGCTCATTGCTTGTAAAGTTTTACTTGATAAATTAACTTCTGCTTGAGCACTATCATGTACATAATTTTTATTGAGCTGGGAATCAACTGAATTTTCGGTGGTATCGATTAAATCTGTGTTGGAGTTTGGTTGCGAATTTTCGGTGGTTTCAGAGTTTTGTTCATTTTCAGTGGCGTCAGCTCCTGTAACATTGGTGCTTGATGGTGTGCTTTCTTGGAATGCACTTGCATTCATAAAGTTCTGTTCATCAGCCCCAGTCTGTGGCTTGTTTGCAAGTAAGTTCATATTCATTTGTCCAAATCCATGTTGTCTTAGAAGTTTGTACTGCTCATACATTTTGTGTACCTCTGGATGTGAACGTTTCATGTGCTTAATGAAATTCGACGATACATTTTTATGGCCACGTAGCATAACCTGACAGGAAACGCAACGTGCAACGAATATATCACCATTTTCGTTATTGCTTTCGGGCTAGAAATACAAATTTTAGAATAGGATTTTAATTGAAATGATAATAGTGAAAAATCTACCAGCTCGAAGAAAGGCGGGGAAAATAGTACAGCGCTTTCCCCACGACGACAACGCTTGGCTGGTTTGATGTCTTGCTGACCAATAGGAGCATTTTGCGTCTGAGAATAGAACGTCTGTTGCGATGGTGCTAAAAATCCAGAATTTTGCGCTTTTGATTGCTCACACCTATTGTCCGGATAATAAGGGCCAGTACCACCCTCCCATTGGTTCACTTCACCCAACTCGTTGAAATGTCGCTTTTGTCCCGGTGCTGTAGGCACTATGCTTGACTGTCCTATAAACATATCCTCACAATTTTCATATTTAATTGTGGGTTCCATTTCTAAGCGAGTAGCAAAAACTGAACTTATGTATGGCTACAAATACTTTAATTCGACGAGAATTTTATCTTATCGATTTTGTAAAACACTAGAAAACAATTATTTCGGTTTTAACAATGGCGTTTGCGGAGTTGCCAGATGCTTACATAACAGCTTATGAAGGAAAATTATAACAATAGTTGCGGTTTGTCAAACATGACAAAATTTCCCTTTAGCACAAACCTGTTTGAAGGTTTGACAAGCCGTTTGAGGGAACCTGAACAAAAATCAAAATTTCTCAATTTTCCGGCTTCTAACAAGGTGAATTTGTACAAGGTAAAATTATGGGCACATTGAGAATCAGTACAAAACAAAATTACAACAAACACATAATTTTGACAAACAGTACACATTCACCTTGAAATCAGCAACTCCGGTAACACCACCTTATAAGAATTCCCCTGCAAAAATCGCGACTACTCCATGCATGCATGTAAAGAGTACTCCCGAAGGACCACTCCAAAATTAACCACAATTCATATAAAAAATATGGTCCAATTAACATTGCGATGTCCTAGGGCAGGACCATATACTCCATCTCTGCATTACATCAGAGTAGCACAAAACTACTCCTAACATACTCCAATGACATTGTTGTTATATTTTTTCGTTTGTACACGCTTTTGTTCTTCACTTCGCAGATGCTTTTTTTGAAATGAATAAAAACCAAAAACAAAAATTAAAAATTACATGTTGCCTCTGACGACATTCGAACCCGAACATGCTGGGATCTAAGAAATAATAGCTAGCATCTCTACACGTTTAGCTACAGCCAGACATGCAAATGTACTTTCAAATGCTTAACTTCAATCACATTTCGTTACAACACGAGCAGTTATCGGGTAACAATAAGCTGGTGCAGAGACACAAGTTGGCCCGCTACACCATGACAGAGGAGCACTTTTGTAAGTACTCCAATATACCACAAATAAGAGCGTGTCAGACGTGGCAATATATTTCGATGCAATAAATTTCGGAAAGGCTGTCAAATTGAGAAATCAGTTGCATGAGCAGTCACACCTTGCATGGAAAGTGTCTTTCGAAAGAGGTTTTTATTTCCGAGCGGCGAATTGCAGGAAAAATTTCTGAAATCGCTTTTTGGCTGTTCACACAGCGAATGAGTTTCTGGCAATCTTTCTCGATACTAAAATGCAACCATGGGCGGTGGGGTTGTCGTTTGTTTGCTATTTCTCTTGTAAAAGCGAGAAAATATAGGTTATAATTAACATATTTGTCGTGTAAACAATAATTTAACGATTAAGTATATTAAACAAAATAATATATTTCAAGCATTTTTGATATTTAATTCAACAATATTTTTTATCATTTTACACAAATTCACGATCAGGGCCACACGGCAACACTCGATTAGTTTGACAGCACTTGCAGAAGAAATAAAAATTGCTAGTGCAGCACGAGCAAGTTGAAATATATTTCCGAAATCGATTTTCGCTCTTGCAGTTGCAGTCCCACCTTGCAACTTTTATTTCTGAAACTGATTTCCGAAAGGTGACAGAAAGATCTTTCTGGCTGTTCACACATCGAAATAAAATTGCTCTTTCTCAATTTGACAGCGAATTGCGTGCGAAAGACGGAAATAGTGCCACGTCTGACAGGCTCTATAGACTACATGGTCCAACGATTTTTGCAGGGTCGCCTTGGCCTCCAAGTTATAATGTGATCAAAGCGCTTGTGTTGTGTATGGTAAAATCGAATTATATACATCAATAACTTCACCGCGAAAAGACATAGGAGAGAAAAATGGAAAGATACCATTTAAATTAAGAACCGGAGAAAACTGCAACTCGCCGCTTGTATGAGTCGTATTTGAACGTTGTATGGCGAAATAGGAAAAGCCGGTTTGAAGTGTTAGTGGTATCCACCAAAATGGGCAATTGGCCTGCCACTCTGGAAAAAGAGCGGATGAGCCCAAGCAACGAATGTTGACAACAGTCGCTGCTTGAGCTGATCTTTTTTTTTCCAGACTGCCAGGCCACTTGCTCCCTTTGGTGAATACCACTAATATATTTCACAAGATACTTGTGTGGTGTATTTCGCACATTACACAATGTGATGGAGGAATTTTTCTCCGTAAAAATTTCCTTTTGTGAAAATGCAACGCTGCATAGTAAGATAAAGATATAAAAAAGAATAACAAAAAAGGGAAGTAAATGGTAAACGATAAATTAAAAGAAAACAAGTATACAACAGAAAAAGTCGCGAAAGTTATCGCAGCATCTTACATCTAATTCGGAAATCTTGAAATTCCTTGAAGATTTCTTGACAAAAAGGTGGGCTTTCAGTGAAAATTACTATAATGAAAAAGAAACCGGAAAATTCGATTATCCTGCGGTAAGAAAACACCTCTAGACGTTAATAGTGGCCGGAAAGCAACTCAAAATAAAAATCGTCTGCCTGAAAGCGAAGCCCATTAATATGGTATTTTGAAGTGAAAGTACTATCACTTATTTCAGATGCAAATGTATGCAAATAGATAAAATAACCTTAGTGTTTTGTGAAATCTCAGAAAATTAAACAGTGCGAAAAATAGCACAAATACGAGTGAAAGCAAAAAGCTTTCGTTAGTGTCGAAAAAAAAAACAAAAGTTTGGTATGCATGCAATAAAAGAATCATTCAAATGCATTAAACATATACGTTTGAATGCTAATTAGCAAAGGAAAGATAAAAAAATCGAAATATTCCAAGCTAATCGCCGCCTTTGTATTATTGCTGCTATATATCTGCTCTCCCATCCAGCCAATTGGCGTTTCAACAATTATTGGCGCTCTTCCCCATATTCGCGTTGCCCCTACAGCACCAAATATCGGCGCTTGGAGCTCTCTGACATTTTTTGGGGCTGTCACATTGACAGTCGCGCGTTGTAGGTGATTGCTTGTGCATTTGGGGATACGCTTTTCGCCATCGTCATTTTCACTGTACTCGGAGTGTTGTGCTTTTCGTGTATCAATTGCACATAAAAATATTGAAATTCTCAAGTTACCGACGATTCTATTTAAAAAGTGTTTAACTTGCGAATATCACCGAACGTAATTCCAACCAGCTGAAGTTTTGGTACCGATAGCGACTGTGGGAGTAAAAAAAAAAATTAAAAATTGGTATAGTGGGAGGCAGAGAGTACAAAGTGAAAGTGTTTTTTTTATGTATTGTGTGCAAGAATCTAGCTTATACAAAAGCATAAAATTAAAAGAAAAAAACAAATGTGTAACTATAAAATTGTTCATTAAAAGTGTAACCCCGCGGTCCACTAAGCACTTAGCCTTCCTGCCAATTTCTTTTGTTGTGATTCCTTGTGGGTTGTGCAATATCCCTATCTCCCCCTTAAACGGTACTTAATTTTACACCCATTCGTGAGCATAGTGTCGCGTTGTCTCCAACAGGAGAAACAAATCAAGAGTTCATTATAGTCTAATCACCTCCGGAAAGAACAAATAACTCGCCATGTATCGCATTGGACCAATTAACCGTAAATCGAATTTTCACTTTCGCGAAAAATGCCTTATAGGCATGGTATTAGCCACGTTATGTCTGCTTTGTTTTGGTGGCATATTTCTGCTACCCGACAATTTTGGAGGCGAACGCGTGCTGCGTGTATACAAGCAATTCCAAAAAGCCGGACCGGAAATGTTCATACCTGCACCGCCATTAGCTGGGCACGGGCCTAAAGATTCAGACCCACACTTTATTGGTGACCGTCAGAAGTTGCAGGCAAAAATTAAAGAAGAATTAGGTGAAATTATGGATAAGCCATTGCTGCAACAACGGCAAGCAGATGCTGGCTATGATGGCGAAGAGTTAGGTGGAGCTGATGATGGCCAACAACAACAACAGGGAGTGGCGCCACCGTTGAACGGGGAGGGACCACCCGACACAGTCGGGCCTGCCGGCAAAGCACGTATCAGCAATGACGATAATGCAGCACGCATGGATAATAATAACTTGCCAGTGGGAAAAGTCGGCAACATACAATTCAGTCAAAATGGAAATGCTGATCCGGATCCAGCTGTTGAGGAAAAGCGGCAGAAAGTTAAAGAGGTGAGTACAAAAATGTGTACATAAACAGTTTTTCTGAAGTCCATATCTACACACTTATGCATGAATGCATACGACTACACCGTGGTTAGCTGTAAATGAAGCTCTTATCAATAATTGCGGCAATTAAGTGGAGTGGATTGCTTCATGCTTCTGATAACCGTCGACCTTGTGTACATACATATGTAATAATAATATAATAATAGATTGGCCCCAACACATATGTTAGTGTTTGGCCAAGCTTCTCCTCCGACTTGTGGGCGTACGCCGACTCCGAACGGCGATTGTATTTTTATGAGAAGCTGTTTTTCAGGGCAGAAATGCAGTCGGAGATTTGCCATTGCCTGCCGAGGGACGACCGCTGTTAAGAAAAAACTTTTTTTTTTTTTGCGATGTTGCTTTGACCAGGGCTTGAACGGTGTTGCGGAGTGGAAGCGCGCACTTCTTACCACTACACCACAGCGGCCGACAATACCCAACAAGCAAAATAAACTTAAAGAAAGTTTTGTTTAAGTTTTCAATTATAAACATTAAGCTTACAATACAATACATATGTAATGCATGGTTAAATATGGTTGCAGAGTGTATAGTATATGAATGACTATTGGCTTAATGTTAAAATTAGCTTGTAAAGGGTTCGGCCAAGAACCTACCTTAGAAGCCATAAACGATCCTTCCCAGTACGTTTTTACTATGCCTTGATAGGTCGTTCATCGATTCGAAAACGACTGATCCGATTGAGTTCAAATCCATAGGGTACGTTTGTACTAGTGCTTATTGTGCTTAGTAGAGGTTTAAGCCCTGAGCCACGCCGCCGCCGCCTTTTTTTGTCATTCCTCACCCGCCGCCGCCGAGTTACGAAAATACCGGCGCGCTGGCACCTGAGGAATTTTGTACAACATTTTCATGATGAACGCACACTGAAACACATAGTTTGAAGGGACTACTAGGAATGTGGTCTCCTTTATTTTTTCAAAAAAGCGTAACTCAGAAAAACACGTTTTTTTTGGTCAAAAGCGTGTATTACAGATAAATTAGGACCGAAAGCTGGTACATCTAACGATTTTCTGCCGAAGTAAATTTGAATTATTTTGATTTTCTTGAGAGTATTCAACTCTTTTTTAAACATATTTTTTAATAAAAAGCAAAGCAATTTTTTTTTGATAAATTTTACATTCGTCAGTTTTTTTTTTATTCTAGCCCAGCCAGCAAAATCGTCGTAAACAAGCTCGTAATTGGATATTTTCTCGAAGAAAAACCGGATTAAAAATCGTTTATGATAGCCGTTTACGACTCTTTTTCGAGCACTTTTTCGCTTTAAATTGTGCATCGCCTACGAACAGTCGTAAACGGATCGAAAAAGCATTCGTATGCGAATATTTTTACGTCCGTTTTTTAATTATAAACGAGTCTCGTAAACGATTAATTTACGTTAAAAAAGCGTCTTTTTACACTGCTTTATCTACTGTTTTTGAATGCTAAAAATAGTCGCAATTAATTAATTCAAATTATTGTAGTTCTTTTATTGAATGGAATTATAATTAATAAATATTTATAGTGCCGGATCAAAGTATTGGCACAGAGAATTTTTCGCAATGTATGCAAAGTTTTTTACTTGAATTTCTTTTCGCACATTTTGTTTTTTTAATATAGTTAGTATGAAGACCTACTTTCAAATCAGATTTTTGAGAAAAATTCTAAGTATGCAGTTTTATATCCCATTATATTTTAGTATAACATAGTGCAAGCTTGAAGTTGCCAGAAAACCGCGTTGATTTTTGGCAATTTTTTCACGCAGTTTCTTCCATGCAAATTATGTGCAACATTTTTTTTTGTATGGAAGAAACTGCGTATAAAAAATTGTCAAAAAACAAAGAGGTTTTCTAGCTATTCAAGCGCGCACTTTATTATACTAAAATTAAATGGGCTATAAAACTGCATACTTTGAATTTTTCTAAAAAATCTGATTTGAAAGTAGAACTTCATACTAACTATATTTTTATAAAAAACAATTAGAGAAGAAATCAGAATAAAAAACTTTGCATTCATGGCGAAAAATTCTCTGTGCCAATATTTTTTCCCGGCACGGTATATGTGAAGATATTTTCAGATAAATAAATATTAAAAAACTATCTATTAACAAATTAACAATTAAATAAGAGGGGTTTAATATATGTTATAAAGTAGCTGAATTTATTTTTTATCTTTTTTGCCGATAGGCTGCAAATTTTTTTTGCCGGTCGTGTGCATATTGGAAGTGCTTCTTTGAAACGGAAATAAAAACTTCTTCGTCGGAGTTAAATTTTTGACGAAAAGCACCTAAGAAAATAAAGTGAAAGATTAAACTCCATTGGACATCGGAAAATTTAATTAAGTAAAAAGTGGTAAAAAAATATTAATATCCGTACTTCTTACTGAAAAGTTCTGCTACCTCATCTCTAATAATTTTCCACCAGCACGTTCTTAAATATTTATTTACATTTAAAATATTTAAATCCTTTAGTGTTGCTCCGCGCAGCCTGTGAAAGAATTGCAAAACTCGTTAAATTAATTTGTATTTTTGAATTACATATGTAGTAGCTACTTACAAGAAGTTGAATTATAAAAGAAAGTGGTAGATCGTCCTTTGCATTTGCACCAGTCTGCCAATAAATTATGTACATACTTAATAATTTACTTAAGTTGAATATTTAACAAACTACTTATAAAATATTGTGATTGAAGAAAAATTGTCAACAAAACTAAAATTTTTTCTTGTGCTGACAAATTACTACAAGCCTCTTTCTATTATATTTTTTTGTTTTATCGTTTACGAGCTTTTCTCTAACTTTTTGGCGATACGAGAATCCCTCGTAAAACATAATGTTCGTAAAATGTACGTTTTCTTGCTGGCTGGGAGGGTCCCACAGACTTATACAAGGAAGGTTTACGTCCATCGCGTCGCAATGTTTTCCACACAGGGTTAAAGTTTCCCACTTTTTGGCGATAATTAATACTATTTTTCATTACATCCTTATCCTTAGAAAAATTTGCCGCTTGTATTTTTTTTTTTTAACTTATAAGCAATTTTTTAACTAGTGGGTCGAAAAGGCCCGTTAGGAGTTGATTGGTAAAACTGTTGGAAAAGTAGACAACTCTTGTTTTGAATCTACAACCCACAAAAAATTGTAAGAACTTTATAATTTAACATAATGGTAGATAAGAATATTACGAAAATTTCATTCCCACGACAGCCGGTCTTACGTTACGGAACAACTTGGGTTTTACCCGACCCAGGACTGTTGTTTCGGCGATCTAATCCAGTTTAGGTCCGTGAAATATCTCAAATTTTGTTCGTCCATAGGGCTTCTACGTACTCTTCTGCTCAGGGGTAGCATCGAGTCAAATCCTGCGCCAGAAACTTACAACTGCTGCGTGTGCCAGAGACGACTACTCCACAACTCCACCTCAGTCAAGTGCAATGCTTGCAATGGGTGCAGTCACCCCAGAGTTTGCTCAGGCCTACGGACTCTCCTGCAGTGGACAACGTCATTTGTGGCCCCCTGCTGCTAAAACAGAGCAGCCTCCACGGCACATCCCTATCCGCCTGAGCAGCTCAACACAAACACCACATTCACGCCAGACACAACAGACACAACCACACCACCACACCACCACCCACACGCGGCCGTCAACAACTCGTGGTTCCTCCAACAATCTGCACGGTGTATCAAACCAGGATATTCCGTAATATGACATCAGTCACGTGCGACACCTGCCTTGGCGGTGGCACTTAAAGTCATTTCAGGTCTGCGTACCACGCGAGATCGGACGAAGAATTTGGAGGACCTGTGTTGCGCTGCATGGTCGCAAGCTCCGATTGCTACACCACCCTCTACCACCACAGTGCGGTACTTCCCACAGCCGCGCACACAGCCTATGGCGGTCAGGCAACACACACATAACAATAAATCTCCCTAGGCAAACGAAGATCCTACAATTCAACTGTAGTCTGTACAGAGCAATATCGAGGAGATAACCGTCTTTATGGGCCGGCATGGAATATTGATAGCTGTGGTCAAAGAGACGAAGTTGAACAGCAATTCAATATTGTGTAACCCCGTCAACCTTCGTCAGGCCGACTCCGGAAATCCCCTCATCAGGGATCTCAATTAGAAATTGGGAAGACCATCTGAATACTTGTACCTTCACCTCTGGTGTGAGTAAGCTTTGGTCAAAGCCTTAATTTTGTACGTATGCTGGCGAAGCGCAACCACACCAGCTGAGAAACGTGAATGACTTCAGACTACAACATCAAACAACAACGGTCGCACAAAAGACGTTATTTTATAAGGGATTAAGTTGTATTTAATTAATTAAATGCAAATATAAAAAATTAAAGCAAGTCACGTATTTATGAAGAAGTATCTCGAATATATTAGAGAGCAAAATTAATTTAGTACATGCGCACTTAATCAAAAACATTTTAAGCTATGGTAATATATTATTACTGAAATAAATAAACAAAACCGTGAGGTCACTGTCCAATCCGACAAAGCGCGAAATATCCTTCTGCGGATCCGGAGCGATGCGCGAGCTATTTTAGCCGGTACTACATCCTCCGACGGACAAAGCCAAACGTTGGCACAAACTGCCAACAAGTGTGCCTCTTGTTTTCACTTGCGGTGAAGTTCAGGTAGCCATAGGTTCTCAACCTATGGATAGTCTTATCGCCACATAATCCTCCTTTTCCCGGTAGCGAAGACGATAGAGGCCTTGCTACTCCCGTACCATCTGACCCCAACGAATAATCAGCATGGTTTCCGTAAAGTGCATAGCACAACAGCAGCACCTAACGCCATAAACACTCTGATAACACGTGGCCTAAACCACAACCGCCCCTGTGAGAGAACTATTCTAGTAGCGTTGGATCCGACAAAGGCGTTTAATACCGTCTCTCCTACAGAGACTCAAACGATGGTCGGCGAATTATTTGAGCGAACCCAGAAAAATAAAACAGGGGATTCCCCAGGGTGGTGTCCTTTCCCTTAAGCTGACGATTGCTCGATAATAGCGTCTG